GTGGCTCATGCCTGTAATCCCAGCGCGCTGGGAGGCCCAGGCAGGCAAATTGCCTGAGGTCAGGAGTTCGAGCCCAGTCTGGCCAACATGGTGAAACCCTGTCTCTACTAAAAATACAAAAAAAATTAGCTGGGCGTGGTGACATGCGCCTGTAATCCCAGCTACTTGGGAGGCTGAGGCAGGGGAATTGCTTGAACCAGGGAGGTGGAGGTTGCAGTGAGCCAAGATCACGCCACTGCACTCCAGTCTGGGTGACAAAAGCAAGACCCTGTCTCAAAAAAGAAAAAAAAAAAGTTCAATTTGTTGGAAGTTTCATATTTTTAATCCAATTTTTTAAAAATTTTAAGTAAAAGAGGGGTTTATTTTTATGCTTTAAATATACTTTCATTTTCTTAGATATACCTATAAATTTTGTATTATAGTTGCTATATGATGTATGTCTTTAGACCATTATATGGCAAAAAATGGCATAAAAAAAAGTCTGATGGCCGGGTGTGGTGGCACACGCCTGTAATCCCAGAACTTTGGGAGGCCGAGGTGGGCAGATTGCCTGAGCTCAGGAGTTCGAAACCAGCCTGGGTAACATGGTGAAACCCCATCTCTACAAAAAACACGAAAATTAGCCGGGCATGGTGGCACTTGTCTGTGATCCCAGCTACTTGGGAGGCTGAAGGAGAAGAATCGCTTAAACTCAGAGGGCGGAGGTTGCAGTGAGCTGAGATTGTGCCACTACACGCCGGCCTGGGTGACAGAGTGAGATTTCGTCTCAAAAAAGGAAAAAGAAAGTCTGAAATAAACATGATGAAAGTATCACATGGGAATTATTCTGGAAAGCAATTTAGAAATCTGTACCAAGGTCTTAAAAATATTCATACCCTTTAACCTAGTAATCTGACATCCTCAGAAAAAAGAAGAAATGATGAGACATTTGAGGCATAGAGGCAATATAAGAATTGTTCATTGCAGTATTAATTATAATAGCATAATTCAAAAGGCACATATATAAATTATGCCACATCCATTCATTTTATGAAATATCATGCAGCCTGTTACAAAGACTATTTACTGTCATAGGAAATGAGTACAACACTTACAAGGTAAGTGTGTATAAGTCACAGAAAGAGAATGTGCCAAAATACTAACATCAGTTACTAAAGGAGGTGACGGTTTTTTTTTTTTTTTTGAGACAGAGCCTCGCTCTGTCGCCCAGGCTGGAGCGCAGTAGCGCCATCTCTGCTCAATGCAAGCTCCGCCTCCTGGGTTCACGCCATTCTCCTGCCTCAGCCTCCCAAGTAGCTGGGACTACAGGCGTCTGCCATCACACCCAGCTAATTTTTTTTGTATTTTTTAGTAGAGAGACGGGGTTTCACTGTGTTAGCCAGGATGGTCTCCATCTCCTGACCTTGTGATCTGCCTGCCTTGGCCTCCCAAAGTGCTGGGATTGCAGGAGTGAGCTACCGCACCCGGCCCCTTTTTTACTTTTTGAGACAGAGTCTCGCTCTGTCACCCAGGATAGAGTGCAGTGGCACAATCTCAGCTCACTGTAACCTCCACCTCTGGGTTCAAACAATTCTCCTGCCTCAGCCTCCAAAGTAGCTGCAATTACAGGTGTGCGCCGCCATGCCCGACTAATTTTTTTGTATTTTTAGGAGAGACGGGCTTTCGCCATGTTGGCCAGGCTGGTATTGAACTCGTGGCCTCAAATGATCTGCTTGCCTCAGCCTCCAAAAGTGCTGGGATTACAGACATGAGCCACTACACCTGGCCATGTATGCTTTCTTTTAATTTTGCTATTTCTTTTTTTTGTTTGTTTTTTTGAGATAGAGTTTCACTCTGTCATCCAGGCTGGAGTGCAGTGGGGTGATCTCAGCTCACTGCAACCTCCACCTCCTGGGTTCAAGAGATTCTCCTGTTTCAGCCTCCTGAGTAGCTGGGATTACAGGGGCTCGCCATCATGCCCAGCTAATTTTTGTATTTTTAGTGGCGACGGTGTTTCGCCACATTGGCCAGGCTGGTCTTGAACTCCTGACCCTTCTGACCTCAGGTGATCTGCTCACCTCAGCCTCCCAAAGTGCTGGGATTAGAGGTGTGAGCCATCGTGCCCGGCCAATTTAGATATTTCTTAAAATAAAATTTCCAGAATATTAGTTTTTCTAATTAAGTAGATTTAAGTTATTTTTTTATTATTTATTTATTTATTTGAGACAGAGTTTCACTCTTTTTGCCAAGGCTAGAGTGCAGTGGCAAGATCTCAGCTCACCACAACCTCTGTCTCCCTGATTCTCCTGCCTCAGCCTCCCAACTAGCTGGAATTACAGGAATGCGCCACCACGCCCAGCTATTTTTTTGTGTTTTTAGTAGAGATGGGGTTTCTCCATGTTGGTCAGGCTGGTCTTGAACTCCTGACCTCAGGTGATTTGCCCGCCTCCGCCTCCCAAAGTGCTGGGATTACAGGTGTGAGCCACCGCACCTGGCCTTAGATTTAAGTTATTTTTTACATTAACTAGATAATTGGTGATATAGAATTACAATTAATTATCATGATTATTTTATGACAATAGCATTTAACTATGTTAAAAAAAGTTCATATATTTTAGAGACATATATTAAAATGGTTATAGAACAAATGATATGATGATTGAGATTTGTTACAAAATAATCCAAACTTGTAGGTGGGACAGTGGAAAGAATGGGAGATGGGAGTATTATAAAACGAGACTGGGCCAGGTGCAGTGGCTCATGCCTGTAATCCCAGCACTTTGGGAGACCGAGGCAGGTGGATCACTTGAGGTCAGGAGTTTAAGACCAGCCTGGGCAACATGGTGAAACCCTGTGTCTACTAAAAATATAAGAATTAGCTGGGCATGGTGGTGTGCACCTGTAATCCCAGCTACATGGGAGGCTGAAGTGGGAGAATTGCCTGAACCCAGGAGGCAGAGGTTGCAGTGAGCAGAAATTGTGCCAATGCACTCCAGCCTGGGCAACAGAGCAAGACTCCACCTCAAAAAGAAAAAAAAAAAAAAAGCAGGATTGGCCGTGTGCTAGTATTTGTTGAATCTGGGTGATAAACAAGAGTTCATTATGCTAGTTTTTCTACTTTTGTATAAATTTGGAGTTTAATAAAAAAGTTAATTTTGAAACTTAAAAGTAAAAAGCACTAATAAGCACTACTTTGAAATGTAACATATAATTAGCCATTAATCTATGCTGAATAAAGACTAGAAATATCTCACATTAAGAGGATGTCAGCTGATCAGAATTTTCCTTCATCTACTTCTGAGTTGTGACTTAAAAACAAAACAGAAAAAAAGGTAAATATTTTCTTCATTATACCATCAAATGTAAAATGAGCCAATATTTTTAGGTGCTGCTAATATACTGTCAATTATGATTGTAAGATACTTCTCAATTTCAGAGACATTGAAATGTGAAACTATGTGCATCTTAGAATGGATGAAATACAGCAATGGCAGGTCAGATTCAGCTATGAGTCTTTTGTTTTCTGACCTAGGATCAGCGGGTCTGATTATTTATCTTGTAATTTTTAACATGGAGTTTTTCTTTTTTTTTTTTTGAGACGAGGTCTCGCTCTTGTCCCCAGGCTGGAGTGCAGTGGCACAATCTCAGCTCACTGCAACTTCTGCGTCCCGGATTCAAGCGATTCTCCTGCCTCAGCCTCCCGAGTAGCTGGGATTATAGACAACCACCACCACGCCCAGCTAATTTTTGTTTTGTTTTTTTTTTTTAAGACGGAGTTTCACTCTTGTTGCCCAGGCTGGAGAGCAATGGCGCCATCTCAGCTCACCACAACCTCCGCCTCCCGGGTTCAAGCGATTCTCCTGCCTCCCAAAAACTCACTCCCAAAAACCCGCCTTGGCCTCCCAAAATGGTGGGATTACAGGCATAAGCCACTGTGCCCAGCCTTTTATTTTTCTTTTTTTTAAAAAGTGGGGGACAAAAGTCTGAATGATAGTTACTTGAAAAGAATGTATTTTCATACAGTGGAATTCCTATTTCATACAATGGTGGGATTACAGGCGTAAGCCACTGCACCCAGCCTTTTCTTTTTCTTTTTTTAAAAAAGTGGGGGACAAAAGTCTGAATGATAGTTACTTGAAAAGAATGTATTTTCATACAGTGGAATTCCTATTTAGCAAGCACTTACAAGGCTGGGCACAAGGTAAAGTTTTAGGAGTTGATCCAGATTTATGGTTTGCATCCATTCTCCTGATGCTAACAGGCCTACAGGACCCCCTGCAGCAGCCATGAGCAGCTAAATGAACTACCCATGTCTATTTGGGAATGTGCTCCCATACCTCAAAAGCTGTTTTTCTTACTGATTGGTAGAGAAATTTTGCAGGGTTAATCAGGTAAGCAAGAAGCACATCCAAAGGATCAATAGGTATTCTTCTTGCCTTGTCCTAATTTCATTTTTCTTTTAATAAATGAAATTGTACAAGGTTTCCTTCACTCAGTTTCAAAAATTTATCCAGTATTGAGGCAAACTTTTTCATTAAAACTACATTTTGCTTCATGTTATTTGCTGTAAATTTTTATTTTTATTTATATATACACACATATATTTTTGGAGACAGTCTCACTGTATCAACCAGTCTGGAGTGCAGTGGTGCGATCTCGGCTCACTGCAACCTCCACCTGCTGGGTTCAAGCAATTCTCCTGGCTGAGCCTCCCAAGCAGCTGGGACTACAGGCGCACACTGCCACGCCCGGCTAATTTTTTTGTATTTTTTAGTAGAGATGGAGTTTTACTGTGTTGCCTGGGCTGGTCTCGAACTCCTGACCTCAGGCAATCTGCCCACCTTGGCCTCCCAAAGTGCTAGGATCACAGGCGTAAGCCACCGTGCCTGTCCTATTTGCTGTAAATTTTTTAAATATGCATTCAAATATTCATAGGATTCAGGCAGTAACCATTTACAAACAGACAAAATAGCCAAAGCAAATATTAAACGTGCTACTTTAATTTGTACCAACTACTTTACTTTTCAAAGTAGGCTTCTCGTCTCTTCCGAAGCTCTTCTGAAGTAAGATTTGTACCTGATGTCTGTGGAATATCTTGAGATATATTTCTGGAACTACCTGAAAACAAAACACAACAGAACAAAAACCAATCACTGTATTTACCAATTCAAGCAACAATACATTTGTTTATACTCATTTGAGTAAGCTTTTAAAATGTTTTTTCTTGAAGAATATTCTACTCTTCTGGCTGGGCGTGGTGGCTCACACATGTAATCCCAGCACTGTGGGAGGCCAAGGCAGGTGGATCACCTGAGGTGAGGAGTTCAAGACCAGCCTGGCCAACAGGGCAAAACCATATCTCTACTAAAAGTACAAAAAATTAGCCAGGCATGGTGGTAGGTGCCTGTAGTCCCAGTTACTCAAGAGGCTGAGGCAGGAGAATCGCTTGAACCCGGAAGGCAGAGGTTGCAGTGAGCCAAGATTGTTGCACTCCAGGCTGGGCGACAGTGAGACTCTTAATTCAAAAAACAAAAGAAATCTAAAGCTGATTTCTGTCCCTGCTAATCCAGCAGGACTCTATTAATCAAAAATGGGATTGCACACCATATGGAGTACTCAGAGGTGTGCCTAGAGGCAAGAAAAGTTCAGGATGAAAATAATCTTCCCATTAATGGAATCTCAATTTTATCTGGATATCTAAGGAAATCAATTGATAAATAATTTCATTAGAAAGTAGAAGCAAATACACATAAGTTAGAGAAAAATAAAACAAAAAACCCACTTCAAACTTTTAATTAAGCAACTTCGAGCTATGTCTTAACATTTTTCTTTGCCTAGACTGTATAGGGGATATGTTTTCACTTTTGAAATTGATAGTTTATATCACTAAAAAACTGGGCCCACCAAAGCGGGCTTAAGGTTTAAGTTGCATAGCCAATAAATGTTGGCTTTTTGTATAATCAGTTTATATCCCCTGTCCAGGCCCTTCCATAGTGTCTAATGACATACATTTATGAAAGAGCTGATTTGGGTAAGGGTCAACTGATACCCACAAAGATTAACACCACAATTGACTACTGTGTTAGTACAGGTTATTGAAACCAAATAAATAACCAGGAGTAAAAATATAACTACTCCTAATAAAATATAGGTTGTAAAAAGTTATTTCCATTATAAGAAATCTAAAGGGAAAAGCCACTATATAGCTATTGCTTCTGCAGTAATTGTCAAAACACTTCTAAGAGTACATTAACTTCCAGGAAACCTAAGAATAATTGGAATCAATTCTTCAGCAATGAATACAACACACATCAGAATGTCTTTACCTTGCATACTTAGCTGAATAGCCCTGCGGAGATCTGCTTCCTCATCTTCCATGTCAATTTCTTGGCGACTTAGTGCCAGAGCCCTCTGCAAATCCTCCTCATCTTCATCTAACATTCCTGAGCCATCATTTGCTTCTAACACTCGTTCCAGGTCTGTTTTATGGACTCTAAAGAACAAAAGCACTGGTAGTAACTGCAACCAATCTTCTATTTTAGACATAACATAAAGGCATTTGTAATGTAAAGGCTTTACGTAAGCCAAAACTTAAAACGTTTTCTGGCAAATAAGCTCTAGTAATATAATGATTGTGTTGTAATTTGAATCCAACTAAGTTTTTTTTCTCTGTTTCTTTTTTTGAGACAGGGTCTGACTCTCTTGCCCAGGCTGGAGTGCGGTGGTGTGATTGTGGCTCACTGTAGTCTCAACCTCCCCAGTTTTGGGTGATCCTTCCTCCTCTGCCTCCCAAGTAGCTAGGACTACAGACACGCACCACCACGTCTGGCTAATTTTTGTACTATTTGTAGAGGTGAGGTTTTGCCATGTTGCCCAGGCTGGTCTCAAACTCCTGGGTTGAAGCAATCAGCCTGCCTCAGCCTCCTGAAGTGCTAGGAATACACCATACCTGCTAACTTAGTTAATATATTTAAGTATTTCAAAGAGTTGATTCACGTTCGAACTAATAAACTTCACTAAAATGTAAGGTCCAAAATAGAGGTGCCGACAACACAAGGACCACATATTCAATGTAAGCATGAAAATTTTATTCTCATAATGAAATATCGTCATATGTTCCATACTGCAGGCCTCATTTTTACCTTTGCTCTTTCAGTTGTGCTAATTCTTCTCCAATAAGTTTTGGTCGGTGCATCTGTTGGACCCTGATCATCTGCAGGAGTTGGTCAGCTTCGCAATCTGGCAGGTCACCCTTAACAACAAATATAGAATAACCTAAAACAAAAAGGCAAAAATCAACCTAAACAGCTAGTAAAGAGATTCAAAATTGATGTAAAATGCTAGTAAAGAGGCAGCACAGTACACTGGAAAAAAATACAAGCTGAGGATTCAGAAAGATTTTAGTTCAAATAATGATTCTTATACTTACTAGTAAAGTCATCTAGGATAAGTTACTTAAAATCTCTGAGCCTCACTTTCTCCATTGTAAGACTGGAATAGCCGTCTCACTGAGTGACTGTGCGAAGTAAATGTCTGTAAAGGGCCCTACTAATATAGCACTTGACTGAGCAGGCTACTCACTTACTGGTATGAGAGAGAGTAAAGGAGTCGGTAAGAGCAACTGATTGAGAATCAGACTGCCTGCATCTGATCCCAGTTCTCCCACTTCCTAGCTGCATTTGTCTTGGTTTCTACTGTTAAACATAATGATACTGGTACCTTCCTGTGATGGTTAATATTATCAACTTGATTGGATTGAAGGCTACAAATTATTGTTTCTGGGTGTGTCTGTGAGGGTGTTTCCAAAGGAGATTAACATTTAAGCCAGTGAACTGGGAGAGGCAGACCCACCCTCAATCTGGGTGGTCACCATCTAATCAGCTGCCAGCTCGGCTAGAATAAATCAGGCAGAAATAAGAGTGTGGAAGGACCAGACTTGCTGAGCCTTCACCTTTCTCCCATGCTGGATGCTTCCTGCCCTCAAATATCAGACTCCAAGTTCTTCATCTTTTGGACTCTTGAATTTACACCAGTGGTTTGCCAGGGGCTCTTGGGCCTTTGGCCATAGACTGAAGGCTGCACTGTCAGCTTCCCTACTTTTGAGGTTTTGGGACTTGGACAGGCTTCCTGGTTCCTCAGCTTGCAGACAGCCTATTGTGGGACTTCACCTTGTGATCATATGAGTCAATATTCCTTAGTACATTACCCTTCATATATACATCTATCTTATTAGTTCTGTCCCTCTAGAGAACCCTGACTAATACACTCACAGGGCTGTTTTGAGGACACAGTCAGATAATGTGTGCAATAACTAGTAACATGGCTAAAACTAATCATCTGTGGAAAGAGCTACCCTGACCCACACATGTACACCCCTTGTAACTAAAAATAGGAGCTGAGAAGCCAAATACCTAAAAGCTATTTAAGGTGTCAAACGTGTGGTTTGCATCCCAAAAGAATTACATTAGTCTAGTGTGACTGTGTATAAATATGATTCCAGAAATCCAGGGTTTCCCCAAGCTAGATGCTACACACAAAAACTAAGAGTGGGCTATACCTAAAACAATCTAAGTTTTTCTATTATTAATTATTATTATTATTTTTTATTTGAGATGGAGTCTCACTCTGTCACCCAGGCTGAAGTGCAGTGGTGCAATCTCAGCTCATTGCAACCTCTGCCTCCCAGGAGGTTCAAGCGATTCTCCTGCCTCAGCCTCCTGAGTAGCTGGGATTACAGGCACCCGCCACCACGCCTGGTTAATGTTTGTATTTTTAGGAGAGATGGGGTTTCACCATGTTGGCCAGGCTGGTCTCAAACTCCTGACCTCAGGTGATCTGCCCACCTCAGCCTCCCAAAGTGCTGGGATTACAGGTGTGAGCCACCGCACCTGGCACATTTTTCTTAAACTCTGGTGTTTGTTATTGGATATCCTTTGTTAGAATTAACACATAATGGGACAAAGATTGTAAGAACTACTAATGGAAAACCTCAAAATAGTACAATGAACATTTTTTATGAGGACAACTGTATTCAGAGTTCAAATGGTTTAATGTGTTTTCTGCCAGTAAAACTGTTTCTATATCGTACAATAAATATGCCAGCTCACCATGGTATTCTATGAAGAGTGTCTGAAGAATGGATACTCTGCCCTGTTCAGGGGTCATGGTCAAGATCTTGGGTTTTATTCAAGACTTCAGATTTTATTTTACTTTTCAATTTTTTTTTTTTTTTGAGAGTCTTGTTCTGTCACCCAGGCTGGAGTGCAGTGGTATGATCTTGGCTCACTGTAACCTCTGCCTCCTGGGTTCAAGTGATTCTCCTATCTCAACCTCCCAAGTAGCTGGGACTACAGGTGCACAACATCACACCCAGTTAATTTTTGTATTTTTTTTGGTAGAGACAGGGTTTCACCATGTTGGCTAGGCTGGTCTCAAACTCCTGACCTCAAGTGATCTGCCCCTCATCCTCCCAAAGTGCTGGGATTACAGGCATGAGCCACCACGCTCAGCCTAAGACTTCAGATTTTATTCTAAGTGTGCTGGGAAGCCACTGAAAGACAAGGAGTGAGGGTGGGACATAACAGGCATTACACTGGTTAAGAAGCACTCTGAGCGGCTCTATCAGTATAATATATAGGAACCAGAGTACAAGAAGTGTCACCTTTATGGAAATGGAAAACCTGATAGATAGCATGGATAGAAAAAAAAAATAAGTCTTTCATAGACATGTTCAGTTTGAAATGCTTTTTGGACTTCAAAGTGGAGATGCCAAAGCTAGGAGTTAGTCAAAGCTAGGTGTTCAGGGTAGATGTCAAGACTAAAGATAAAAGTTTGGTAATTACTGACACACAGATCTTATTTAGAGATATACCTAAGATCCATGAAAGGGATCTGAAAGATGCAGGCAACAAGTTAGGAAAACCACAGCATGGTGGGCTGGAGGTCAAGGGCAGACAGGGTTTTTAAGAAGGGATATCATTAGGAACCAAGGTTTTAACTATAAAAGAAAAAAGATACAAGTATCTAAAATCAAAGAATTAAAAACTCTATATTCCTAAATGTGAATTCACAATAACTACATAACAAACCCAGTAGCAATAAGCATGCCAGCACTCAAATTGTGATCTCTAAATACCATTACTAAAAGATGGTTAGGCACAGTGGCTCATGCCTGTAATCCCAGCACTTTAGGAGGCCGAGGCAGGTAGATCACCTGAGGCCGGAATTCGAGACCAACCTGGCCAATATGGTGAAACCCTGTCTCTACTAAAAATATAAAAATAAAAAAACACTTAGCCAGGGGCCAGGCGCAGTGGCTCATGCCTGTAATCCCAGCACTTTGGGAGGCTGAGGTGGCAGATCACCTGCAGTTAGGAGTTCGAGACCAGCCTAACCAACACGGAGAAACCCCTTCCATCTCTACTAAAAATACAAAATTAGCCAGGCGTGGTGGCTCATGCCTGTAAACCCAGCTACTCGGGAGGCTGAGGCAAGAGAATCGCTTAAACCCGGGAGGCAGAAGTTGCAGTGAGCCGAGATCACGCCATTGCACTCCAGCCTGGGCAACAAAAGGGAAACTCCATCTCAAAAAAAAAGAAAAAATTATCCAGTCGTGGTGGCACGCACCTGTAATCCCAGCTACTCGGGAGGCTGAGGCAGAAGAATCGCTTGAACCCAGGAGGCGGAGTTCAAGAAAAGGAGAAGGCACACTAGAGACAATCCTAAGGAAAAAATAAAAATGGGGAGGCAGCTGGAGTTTCATGGAATTAAGAGAAGATTTTTCTTTTTAATTACTGGAGTTAAAAAGCTTATTTTTCTGCTTATAGGTACATTACCAAAAAAAAAAAAGGGGGGGGGGGAACTGATTATACAAGAGAGTGGAGAGATGAAAGCAGGAACATCTTGAGTAGGTGAGAGGAGCTGGGATCCAGCCCACAAGTGAGGGACTGGTCTTCGCTAGAGGTAGGGGACCATTCATCTATTTTAGTAGTCGCAAAGCACAGGTGAAGATATAAGCAAATTAGTACACTTGCTGGTAGAAAAGTAAGAACATAATTTTAATTGCTTCTATGTTCTCAGCAGAATGTAATGGAAGGCCATACGCAAGGTGTGTAAGGAAGGGAGAGGAAAGTGGTTAAAGGTTTGAAGACAGAAGCTGTGAAATTAGTCACCTTGGAAAGTGGCACATGATTTTTTATAAACATCTGAAGAGTGGCACATGATTTTTTATAAACATCTGGAGAGTGGCACATGATTTTTTATAAACGTCTGGAGAGTGGTACATGATTTTTTATAAACATCTTGGAGAGTGGTATGGGGATTTACTAAGAAAACATAGTAGAAATATCAGGCAGCACTAAAGGCTCATCTGAATTTTGTGATTATAATAAATTTAAAGTAAAACCTTAGCTAGGTGCGGTAGCACAAGCCTGTAGTCCCAGCTACTCAACAGGCTGAGGCAAGAGGATCACTTGAGGCCAGGAGTGTGGGGCTACAATGAGCTGTGATCATGTCACTGCACTCCAGCCTGGGCTTCAGAGAGGCCTAGTCACTTTGATAGACAGATGGATGGGTGAATGGATGGATAGATCGTTTAAGAAAAAAGTAAAACCAATCATCATGTTTTATGTTATTTTTTAGCCATATCCTGCTACTCTGGTACAGGAATGGACAAGGCCAAGATTTGGTTTTAACCAGGGTTGAGATTTTTGTCATTCAAGTATGATGGAGGGAGAGAAGGGGGAAACAAGCTGAAGAATGCAATGGAGTGATTATAACAATGAATTACAGAAAATAAGCAGCAGAAGAAAGGAAGAATGCATATAAAGGAAATGCTTGGGCCCCACGGTAGGGTTTAAAGAATGGCTGGAATAAAAAAAACAGATAAAACATGGTTTAAGGATAGGAGGTGGTAGTTAAAGAGTAATACGCTTGCAATTGAGATTTGACAGTGGTTATGATTATTGGTAATAGCTAAGCAAGAGTGAGTGATTTTGAAACTAAGAAGTAGGTACTGGATTACTGGATTGATTAGCAATACAGAAATCATTAAGAATGATAAAAGGAGTTGAAGTAGAGAAAAACACAATGAGTCAGATCCTAAAATCACTGATGAAAAGAGACTTTTGGATGAGTGCAAAAGGGCAAGGGATAGTTTAATCTAGGGGCGTGTATTTCTTTCGTCTTTGAGATGGAGTCTCTGTCGCCCAGGCTGGAGGGCAGTGGCGCAATCTCAGCTCACTGCAAGATCCACCTCCCGGGTTCACACTATTCTCCTGCCTCAGTCTCCCAAATAGCTGAGACTACAGGTGTCCACCACCACAACTGGCTAATTTTTTGTTATTTTTAGTAGACACGGGGTTTCCCCGTTAGCCAGGATGGTCTTGATCTCCTGACCTCGTGATCTGCCCGTCTCGGCCTCCCAAAGTGCTGGGATTACAGGCGAAAGCCACCACAACTGGCCCTTAGGGGCATGTATTTCAAAGAAACTGGAGTTTATAGGGAAGAACAGTGGCCTAGAAGAGGCAAAAAAGAAAAATATCTATCCCTCCTCTCAGCTGTGTGGTATGTGATGTATAAAAGAAAAAACCATTACTTAGAAGGGCTGCAAAGAAAGCAGCATCCTCAGAAGAGGGAGGGCCAGGTGCCAGTGAGAACTCTAATGGAACAGCGTCACCCAAATCACAGCCTATCACCACGTCAAACCTAAAGATTGTTTCACTGCCACTGCCAGAAAAACAGTATTGTCACACTGTCATCTAATGCTCCAGTTTATTTAACTACTTCGAAAGATAACGTTACAAAATTTTCAGCCTTTACTTACCTTCCTGTTGTAATTGAGCCAAGAAAAGTGCAAGATATGTATCTGATATTAACTCTGGACCCGTCAAGAGAGAATTCAAGTTAAACCACTGGAAAAAAAATTGTCAATATTTAAGTTAGTGCATATTATAGGTAATAAAGTAGTTTCACATGTTAAGAACAGATATAACCCATCAAAGTTTAGTAAGATTGTTTAAACTCTGGAAATATTTCAAGTTGAGCTCTTTCCTCTGACTGAATAATATCTTAAAAGAGAATACTGCAGATTTATCACTATTACTTTTTTTTTTTTTTTTTTTTGAGAAGAGTCTCATTCTATCACCCAGGCTGGAGTGCAGTGGCATGACCTCAGATCATTGCAACCTCCGTCTCTCAGGTTCAAGCAATTCTCCTGCTTCAGCCTCCCAAGAAGCTGGAACTATAGGCCCGCGCCACCACACCCAGCTAATTTTTGTATTTTTAGTTAGAGACAGCACATTTGCCACATTGACCAGGCTGGTCTCAAACTCCTGACCTCAAATGATCCTCCCGCCTTGGCCTCCCAAAGTTCTGGGATTACAAACATGAGCCACTGCACCCGGCCTCTGTTAGATACTCTTTTTTTTTTTTTTTTGAGACAGAGTCTCGCTCTGTTGCCCAGGCTGTAGTACAGTGGTGCAATCTCGGCTCACTGCAAGCTCCGCCTCCCAGGCTCATGCCATCCTCCTGCCTCAGCCTCCCGAGTAGCTAGGACGATATGCGCACACCGCCACACCCGGCTAATTTTTTGTATTTTTAGTAGAGATGGGGTTTCACCGTGTTAGCCAGGATGGTCTTGATCTCCTGACCTTGTGATCCACCCGCCTTGGCCTCCCAGAGTGCTGGGATTACAGGCGTGAGCCATGGCGCCCGGCCCTGTTAAATAGTTTTTTAAAAACAACACTTTGCTTTAAACTATAAACATTAAACCCTCCCAAAAGAATAAAAATGGATAGTCCGTAGTTGAAATGTCTTTATTAATAGCTATAGTTAAATCTTTTTTCAAAGTATCAGTCCAACATAACTCTAATCGCATCTATCATACTGATGGGAGGAAAAATGACAACTATACAAAGTTTTCCCATTACCGATAATTTTTGTCAAAAGATTCCAATTGTGAGAAAGTCAGAAGTTCCAGGAAGATAATTTATAATTACCAACTCAGTTTTTAAAAATCACTAAATTAGGTGGGCATGGCAGCTCATGCCTATAATCCAAGCACTTTGGGAAGCTAACGTGGGAGGATTGCTTGAGCCCAGGAATTTGAGACCAGCCTGGGCAACATAGTGAGACCCTCTATAATTTAAAAATGTTTTTAAAAAACACTATCACATATAACATATAAACACATTTTTTTTTAAAGAGATGGTCATCTAGGCTGGAGTGCAGTGGTGCAATCATAACTCACTGCAGCCTTGAACCCCTGGCTTAAGTGATTCTCTCGCTTCATCCTCCCAAATAGCTGGGACTACAGGTGTGCACCAAGATGCTTGACGAATTTTCTAATTTTTTTTGTAGAAATGGGGGTCTCTGTGTTGTACAGGCTGGTCTCAAACTCCTGGCCTCAAGACATCCTCCCACCTCAGTCTCCCTACATGCTGGAATTACAGGTGTTAACCACTGCACTCGGCCCTAATTAACATCATTTATCACTACCACAAAGTATTCCTAATTTAACCCACAAGATACAAAAAGTGTTTAAAGTTACTGTCAGTATCATGACCAACTATTTTCCTGGATTTTGACAATGTTAATACTTTTTCCAGCCTTCTTTTTTATTATACAGGGACCTCAGACAGAGTCTATAGTGAAAAATATAGTTTTAAACAAAAATATAAATTAGAACCAAAGAAAATAAAATAAACCAAAATTTGACATCTTCTGTATTTGTTTTTTTTTTGTTTTTTTTTTTTTTAAAGATAGAGTTTCACTCTTATTGCTCAGGCTGGAGTGTAATGGCGTGATCTTGGCTCACTAAAACCTCCACCTCCCAGGTTCAAGCAATTCTCCTGCCTCAGCCTTCCAAGTAGCTGGGATTACAGGCATGCGCGAACACACCCAGCTAATTTTGTATTTTTAGTAGAGACGGGGTTTCACCACGTTGGCAAAGCTGATCTTGAACTCCTGACCTCAGGTGATCCACCCACCTCAGCCTCCCAAAGTGCTGGGATTATAGGCATGAGCCACAGCGCCCGGCCAACATCATCTGTATTTGTCAAAGATAATGTAATTCAAAATGTGAAAATTCAATTTTGAAGAACTAAAAATTTTTAAATCTCTCAAAATAATAAGATAGACATTTATTTGCAAATTAATACGAGGGTACTTCTGAAATCTAAGTCTACAGACCTTAAAAATTCAGTGCTTACTTTATACAAAAAAAGTAAAGAATACTGGATCATAATTTTTAAAAACACGTAAATAAAACCCAGAGGTTAAATAATCTCAGCAGTACCCTACCCTGGTTTTTACCTAGAGGTGATTCCCACTCGTGTCAGCCTCTACTGCTCTAAGTTGCACTTTTTAAATTTTTTTTCGGTAGAGACAAGGTTTCACTGTGTTGGTCCAAGCCGGTCTCAAGCTCCTGGCCTCAGTGATCTCCCTGCTTCAGCCTCCCAAAGTGCTGGGATTACAAGCGTGAACCACTGCACCCAGCTAGCCTCCACTGTAAGCTTCTAGATTACACCTCCTTAACTTGCTCTTGGCTCCTCAGGAAGAACTTTAAGAAAGAACCAACTTAGGGCTGGGCATGGTGGCTCACGCCTGTATTCCCTGTATTTGAGAGGCAGAGATGGACAGGATCACCTGAGGTCAGGAGTTCAAGACCAGCCTGACCAACATGGAGAAACCCCGTCTCTGCTAAAAATACAAAAATTAGCTGGGTGTGGTGGTGCACACCTGTAGTCCCAGCTACTCGGGAGGCTGAGACAGGAAAATTGCTTGAACCCGGGTGGCGGAGGTTGCAATGAGCCGAGATCCCACCACTGCACTCCAGCCTGGGTGACAGAGCAAGAATCCATCAGAAAGAGAGAAAGAGAGAAAGAAAGAAAGAACGAACCAACTTAGGATGAAGCTAAGTAGGTGACTTTTCCCAAATTTGATTTGGGTGACTTAAAAGATAACAATAGGGTTTTTGTTTTTGAATTATCTCTTATAGATTTAATTCAATATACTTTCTTGACATATCTTTTTTGGCTTTTATTTACTTTTTTAAAAAAACAAACAGCTTTATTGGGGTATAAGTGATATATAATAAACTTCACATATTTAAAGTGTACAATTTGAAACTTTTTTTTTTTTTGAGAGAGGATCTCCTTCTGTCACCCAAGCTGGAGTGTAGTAGTGCGATCATGACTCACTGCAGGCTTGACCTCTGGGCTCCCTCCTCATCCTCCCTAGCACCTAGGACTACATGCATGTATCACCACACCTAGCCAATTTTTCTTTTTTTTTTTTTCATTTTTTTGTAGAGATGGGGTCTTGTGACATTGCCCAGGCTGGTCCTGAACTCCTTGAGCTCAAGTGATCCTCCTGCCGTGGCATCCAAAAGTGCCGGGATTACAGACATGAGCCACTGCACCTGGCCTTTGAAATGTTTTGACATTTGTATACTGTACTCCCATGAAACCATTACTACAACCAACACTATGACACATTAATCACTGCCACGTTTCCCATGCCTCTCTCTGACCCTCCCCCCTCTCACTCTTCCTTAGCCTTTTCATCCCCAGGCAACCACTGGTGGATCTGCTTTTCATCACTACAGATGAATCTGCACTTTTCTAGACTTTTAATAAATGATACCATACAGCATGTAGTATTCTGTTTCGGGGTTATTCTTTCAGCATAATTATTTTGAGATTCATCCATGTTGCTGCATGTATCACTAGTTTATTCTTTTTTACTGTGCTAGCTGGTTTTCAAGAACCCTCTTTCAAAGATTCAAAATTCTAATAAAAAGGATGTTAAATGATTCTGTTTCTTAAAATAGCTTGCTCAAGACATATTTCATGTTTTATTTAACAAATAGAAGTGATTTTATGTAGACGTATGTATTACATGGCTTTTGGAATCATATGAATAATCTTACACTAAAGCAAGCATAATTGAATGCTTTATTCATGCTTGACACTATTTCAGGCTTTGTGACAGCACTATGCTAAATACAAATCTACAAATGTAGTAATTAACTGACAGAACATAGTCATCACATAAAAACCCACTTCAAAGTAACCACATTTGTATTATATTTAATATAGAATTTTTCTTATGATATAGTTAAATTGCATATACTTGTCACAAATAAATTTACAAGGAAAACTGATATGTTTTAAAATGACAAATTTCTATCTATCAAGATAGATAACCATGCCACAAACACACACATTACTAGTCAGTTTCCTAATTTTAAAGTCAGCAATCCTTTTGTTTTTTCTTTTTAATTTTAAAATTTCTTTTTCTTTTTATGTTTTATAAAACAGAGTCTTACTCTGTCACCCAGGCTGGGGTACAGTGGCACAATCATAGTTCACTGCAGCCTCACACTCCTGAGCTCAAGTGATCCTCCTGCCTCAGCCTTCCAAGAAAGCTGGAATTACAGATGTGAGCCACCATACCTGGCTTTTTTTTTTTTTTTTTTTTTTTTTTTAAGAGACAGGACCTCCCTTTGTTGCCCAGGCTAGTTTCAAAGTTCTGGCTTCAAGTGATCCCCCAACCTAAGCCTCTCAAACTGTTGGGATTACAGGCATGAGCCACCACATCTGGCCCACATTTTAGTTTTAAATGGGGCACAATATAAGAAAAAAAGACAAGGAAGGGTAAGAAATGTTACCTGTTTTCCTAATTTTCTAACTGTAAACCAGTGTTCCTTATAATTGCATATAAATGATCTTTCATTTCTAAAAAAGAAAACACACAATATTAACTTGAAATATTGAATTCATACTTATGTTGTCTACTGGCAAACATTATATAAAATTTGTGATAATTTAAGATTAGATTTACAGTTAAGTGTCACTGATGTTTTTAAAAGATCACACAACCATATGAACGTCTCTGCAGCAGCTTAGTGATGCCGGGCCAAAAGATGGCCTCACGCACCACTTACGGGGCAGCTCTGTGCTGCCACAGACACTGGGGTGCCAGGAAGGCTACAGGGCAGATGCTCATGGACATCACAAAGGTGAAATAGGAAAGTCTGAGGGAATGAAACAGGGAACATCAAAACACAAGTATTCCAAATATATTTCTCTTCTTTAAGAAATATCTTTAAAAATCAAATTTGGGAAAAGAAATGTATGAAATGCAAAACAAAATCTTACATAGGATCGATCCTGAGCCTCTGATACTCTGGACTGTTGAACAGGATTAGTTCTAAACCCCAAACTTTCAAGGCATTGCTTATAACCTGTTAAGAAAAATAGTAACTTTTCATAAGCCAAACCACTCCATTCCAAATTGAAGAAGTATAGCTATGTCAGTTGTGTAAACACTTTAAGAAGTATAGCTATGTTAGTTGTGTACCTCATATATAAATTTCTCTAGAAGGCTACAGGTTTTTTTTTGTTTTTTTTTTTGTTTTTTTTTTTTAAGACAAAGAGTCTTGCTCTGTTGCCTAGGCTGAAGTACAGTGGCATGATCTCGGCTCACTGCAACCTCTGCCTCCTGAGTTCAAGTGATTCTCCTACCTCAGGCTCCCGAGTAGCTGGGATTACAAGCATGCGCCACCACACCCAGCTAATTTTTGTATTTTTAGTAGAGACAGGGTTTCACCTTGTTGGCCAGGCTGGTCTCAAACTCCTGACCTTGTGATGTGCCCGCCTCGGCCTCCCAAAGTACTGGGATTACAGGCATGAGTCACCACGCCCAGCCGGCTATAGGTTTTCAAAAGTGTGTGTGTGTATAGATATATCACTAAATCCATAAAAAACATACACATATATATTAGAAGAGTGCTTTTCATACCAGGTCTCTGAGATGTTCCAGAAAACCACACAATTCCTACATAAAACTGTCTCAAAAATCCAGATGTATGTATATTCTACCCATAAGTGCTATTCTTAAAACTAGTCTACTATATACATCTGGTAATTTGGCTGCCGTGGGTGCTACTTTAGAAAATGTATATTCAACTTACTACTTGCAATGTCAGAAATCGTGTCTACCAAAATAAGTTCTCCCTGGGCACTTAAACTGAAGTTTCCATAGGTATCAGACTTCCAGGGTCATGGGCTTGCCACTTGTAGAAAAAAACAAAATGCAAACCTGATTATTTCAATCTGTCTGACAAAAAATGGGAAATTTCTGAAAATTCACTATCTACCCTCCAAGGTAGCCAACAAAGAAGCAAGTCAACCAGGTACCGGCAAAGACAGAAAGTGAGTGCAAGGCAGTGGGTACCAAGAGCAGCAAGGCACAAATAGGAAACGCCAAGTGCTGGGCCTACTCTGACCTCTGATTCCAGCCCTGCAGTAGCCATTACCTGTTAACAGTGGCACGGTAAAGCACTAGATGGAAATGCTGGTGGATGAGGAGGAGTCCAGGAGGGCAGTACAAGAGAAATACAAACAAAGGTATCTGCAGAGATAGGTCGCTCAGGAGAGGTTCTGAAAGACCTCTGGATACAACTCACAGTGTCAGAAAAGAATGAAAGACACGCAGATAAAAGAATCTTTCAAGTACATATATATAACCACCAAAGAACTCAAAGAGAAAAATCAAAAGCCACAGACCATAATAAGGAAATCCAGTCTGGTAGGCTGATTTAAAAGGATGGTAGCAAGGTACTGCATTTTCTTAAGTTTACCCAACAAATGGTAAGTTTGAGACACTGGGACTTATTATAATTAAGGGTATTTGGTTTTCTTTGAGACAGAGTCTTGCTCTGTCACCAGGCTGGAGTGCAGTGGTGCGATCTTGGCTCACTGCAACCTCTGACTCCCTGGTTCAAGCGATTCTCCTGCCTCAGTCTCCAGAGTAGCTGGGATTACAGGCTTGCATCACCACGCCCAGCTAATTTTTGTATTTTTAGTAGAGACAGGGTTTCACCATGTTGGCCAGGATGGTCTTGATCTCCTGACCCTGAGGTCCGCCCACCTCGCCCTCCCAAAGTGCTGGGATTACAGGTGTGAGCCACCACGCCTGGCCAGAATTAAGGTTATTATTAGCATCCAGATGCAAATTAAATAATCTTTCTCAAAAAGGAATTTTTAAATGCCCCACTCTAATATGAAGATTCTACAATCCTTTCATGTTTATCTATATAAAAATCTAGTACTCTAGTTGGCCGGGCATGGTGGCTCATGCCTGTAATCCTAGCACTTTGGAAGGCTGAGGCAGGTGGATCACAATCTAGTGATCTAGAGTATAATCTTATACTCTGTAGACATGATCTATTAGAAGAACTTCTGAAGGTCGCCTTGTTATAGTGACTATTGAAAGGCTGTGAAACGGGGCCTGGGATGTAAGCAACACATAGTAGATGCTTGTGACTACTTACCTGAATAGAGAAAAAACCACTGTCATCCATATTTCCAGAAGGCTGCTGTTAATTTTGACAGGTAGTTGAAGCACGCGTGGGGGTGGGGAAAGAAGGATACAAACTGTCATTAGCGTGCATATTTAAAATAACATCTTTGCATTTCCATTTCCAAAGTTAACAGTGCAGTTATAATTCACCAGTCAGATCCCTATAGGAAGAATGGCACATCCTTTTCTAAATAGTATCTACGTTTTTAAAAGAAATGTAAGCCGGGTGTGGTGGCTCACACCTATAATCCCAGCACTTTGGGAGGCTGAGGCAGGTGGATCATGAGATCAGGAGTTCCAGACCAACCTGACCAACATGGTGAAACCCCGTCTCTAACAAAGATACAAAAAATTAGCCAGGCATAGCGGCGTGTGCCTGTAATCCCAGCTACTTGGGAGGCTGAGGCAGGAGAATTGCTTGAACCCAGGAGGCGGAGGTTGCAGTGAGCTGAGATTGCGCCATTGCACTCCAGCCTGGACAACAGGGCAAGACTCCGTCTCAAAAAAAAAAAAAAAGAAAATGTGACTTAGTGAGTTTAACATCAGTACCTGTAAAAACGTGCGATAATCTTCACTAGTAACTCCTCCTTCTGCCATTCTCATCCTCTCCTCCTCATCCAGCTGATGTGCAATTGAGGATAATTCCACAGGGCTAAAATATTCTCCTTGCAATAAATTATTCAGGCAATGTTGAGCACAAAGTGAGCCTTCTTGCTAATATTTCCAAAAGAAAAAATTAAAATGTGACTTATTAAACAGAATTGCACAGTATTTTCCCCTAAATAATTTAATCATTAACTTTTCTTTCTTTTTTGAGACACAGTCTTGCTCTGTTGTCCAGGCTGGAGTACAGTGGAGCACTCTCGGCTCACCACAACCTCTGCCTCCTGGGTTCAAGCAATTCTCCTGCCTCAGCCTCCCGAGTAGCTGGGACTACAGGCATGCACCACCATGCCCGGCTAATTTTTGTATTTTTAGTAGATACAGGGTTTCACTATGTTAGCCAGGATGGTCTCGAACTCCTGATCTTGTGATCCGCCTGCCTCAGTCTCCCAAAGTGCTGGGATTACAGGTGTGAGCCACCGCGCCTGGGCAACTTTTTTTTTTTTTTTTTTTTTTGAGACGGAGTCTTGCTCTGTCACCCAGGCTGGAGTGCAGTGGCACAATCTCAGCTTACTGCAAGCTCTGCCTCCCGGGTTCACGCCATTCTACTGCCTCAGCATCCCGAGTAGCTGGGACTACAGGCGCCGCCACCACGTACGGCTAATTTTTTGTATTTTTAGTAGCGATGGGGTTTCACCATGTTAGCCAGGATGCTCTCGATCTCCTGACCTTGTGATCCACCCGCCTAGGCCTCTCCAAGTGCTCGGATTACAGGTGTGAGTCACCGTGCCCGGCTCCAACTATTTTTTAACATAGTTGAACTGAACTTTCAGCTTTAGATAAGTATAATTAACATAGGTACATGCATTTTCATTTGTTAACATTTATTTTACAAATCTACTATTAATGAAACTACATTACATGATCAAAAATTTAAGAATTATTTTAAACAAACATTATCGGTCGGGTGCAGTGGCCCACACCTGTAATCCCAGCACTCTGGGAGGCCGAGGTAGGCAGATCACGAGGTCAGGAGATCAAGACCATCGTGGCTAACACGGTGAAACCCCATCTCTACTAAAAAATACAAAAAATTAGCCGGGCGTGGTGGCGGGCACCTGTAGTCCCAGCTACTCGGGAGGCTGAGGCAGGAGAATAGCATGAACCCAGGAGGCGGAGCCTGCAGTGAGCCAAGATCACACCACTGCACTCCAGCCTGGGCAACAGAGCAAGACTCTGTCTCAAAAAAAAACCAAAAAACAAAAAACAAAAAAAATTATCATCTATCAAATGCATCAAATCTCATACTTTACTAAAAACCACTGTATAAAACATTTAGTCTCCCTCATTTTCACTACCTAAAATAAGTTCATTCTTGGAGATTCCACAGTAAATTACTAATGGTGAAAGGAAATTTTAGTCTCTAGAACAGTTATTTATTTATTTAAAAAATGAGATCTGACTATGTTGCCCAGGCTGGACTTGAACTCCAGGGCCCAAGGGATCTTCTTACCTCAGCCTCCCGAGCAGCTAGGACTACAGAAACATGCCACTGTGCCTAGCTGCCTAGAACATTTATTCTTTTAACATAATGCCGGTCAAGCATGGTGGCTCATACCTGTAATCCCAGCAGTTTGGGAGGTCAAGGCGGGTGGATTGCTTGAGGCCAGGAGTTCGAGATGAGCCTGACCAATATGGCGAAACCCCGTCTCTACTAAAAATACAAAAATTAGCCAGTGTGATGGTGTGCACCCGTACACCTAGCTAATCGGGACTCCAAGGCATGAGCATCGCTTGAACCTGGGAAGTACAGACTGCAGTGAGCCAAGACTATGCCACTGCCACTCCAGCCTTCTGTCTCAAAAAAAAAAAAAAAAAAAACTCCACACAATTTAAATGCTTGTTGACAGAATTTCAAATCTTAAGAATCAATACAGGTGAGAAAAATTCTGTTCCATGTTAAAACTTGCAGTTACAGAGCTGAAGTTCTCTTCATGGAACTCTACAGATAATGTACACGCAGCGTAATGCAATGAGCAGAACTGTCCCAAACAACCCTGGAGCTCACTCCTGGACAAGCCAGCAAGAGGGACTGCACCCAAGCTCAGCTCCCATGGGACGACAGGCTTCCTCCTTATGGGAGGTAGGTACGACCTCCCACGGGTTCAGAACCTTCAAGTGCTGGGCAGTTTCTCACACAACTGGCAGCCTGAATCCAAGTCCAGGGTGCCTGGTACCGAGTAACCTGTGTGTAACCCTCCTCCCCACAGCAGTAGCTTTCCCATGCTACCTGGTAAGAAGGGAGAATCACGTATAGATGGATCCCTCCCTGTGAACACAGACACCAGGTTTGCCCCTTCCTGAAATGATAGCAGATGAGAGAACATTTCCTTCTCCTGCTAACCTTGGCCCTCCAAGTTCTCTCTTTCCCCAATAAGGTCTATTCCTTAACCCAACTTATCTGACATCACACAATTTGTCCTGAGCTATGTTACACAGTAGACTCTAAAGAGAACCACCTTGCAAGACGGAATTTTTTCCTGAAAAATCAATTTTCTAGGAACAAAATTCAGCTGGTGAAAAAAATATGGGTTATATGTGTATAATGGAATAGGAAGACAGCATTGAGACAGCCTGAGTCTGAGATAAGTTTATCCTCATCTTTTGGTAAGGAATAAGTAGCTTGGAGCCAGAGAGAACACTAGCCCCCAAGTCTTCTCATGAAAATAGACTTTTTGTTTCCGCTTCTTTCTCTTTCTTCTATATTTCTACTACCAGAGTGCAACTCTTACTGAATGATATGCAAATTGAAGGGATATACAGATGTTCTTATGTACTTATAACCTATTGAAAAACAGCCAAGGCTGGCTGCGGTGGCTCATGCCTGTAATCCCAGCATTTTGGGAGGCCAAGGCAGGAGGATTACTTGAGTCCAGAAGTTTGAGACCAGCCTGGGCAACATGGTGAAACCCCATTTCTACAAAAATTAAAAAATTAACTGAGCATGGTGGTGTGTGCTTGTAGTCCAGCTTCTTGGGAGGCTGAGATAGGAGGATAACCTGAGCCCCAAAAAGGTTGAGGCTATAGTAAGCTGATATTGCACCACTGCACTCCAGCCTGGATGACAGGGCAAGAACCTGTCTCAAAAAGAGGGGAGGGGAGGGGAGGGGAGAAAGAAAAGAAAAGGCAAGACAAACAAGCACTTCACAAGACAGTCAAATAGCTATAAAGAACACAAAAAAGGTACTCAACTTCATTAGTCATCAGGGAAATGTAAATTAAAACCACAATGTGTTATTACACAAACTCTAAAATGGCTAAAATATTGGAGATCAGAGATATAGAAACTGTTGTATACTACTGGTGAGAGAGTAAATTGGTATAACCAATAATAACTAATAATTATGTAATGCATCTACTAAAGCTTAACATGTACATCTCCTATGATCTAGCAATTCCATTAGTAGGTACATAATGTAAACAACAGAAATGCAAACATATATTCATCAAAAGATATGTATAAGAATGTAGGGCCGGGCGCGGTGGCTCAAGCCTGTAATCCCAGCACTTTGGGAGGCCGAGATGGGCAGATCACGAGGTCAGGAGATCGAGACCATCCTGGCTAACACGGTGAAACCCCGTCTCTACTAAAAAATACAAAAAACTAGCCGGGCGAGGTGGCGGGCGCCTGTAGTCCCAGCTACTCCGGAGGCTGAGGCAGGAGAATGGCGTGAACCCGGGAGGCGGAGCTTGCAGTGAGCTGAAATCCGGCCACTGCACTCCAGCCTGGGTGACAGAGCGAGACTCCGTCTCAAAAAAAAAAAAAAAAAAAAAAAGAATGTTCACAAAAGCACTATTTTTGTGCTACAAATAGCATTACTATTTGTAGTAACACAAAATAGCATTACAGATAGCATTACTATTTGTAATGGTCCCTAAACTGGAAACGACCCAAATGGATAGCTGGGATCACAGCAGAATGGAAATTGTGTTTACTCACAAAGGAATACTACATAACAATGTGAATGAATTAACTACAACGACCTGGAACAGTATGGATAAATCTCTCAAACAATGGTAAACTAAAGAGGACAGAGTCAAAAGGGTATACACACTGTACGATTCCAGTCACAAAAGCTCAAAACTAGGCAAAACTCATTTATGATATCAGAATTCAGCATAGGGGTTATTTTTGTTGGGAGTGCAGTAGAGAGAGAGTACCTAGAAAAGGGAATAATGGGAGGTTATAGGATGCAGGTAAATCTTCTGTTACTTGCTGTTTACACATGTTCATTTTGTGAGAATTCACTGAGCCGTACTCTTAACGATTTGTGTGCTCCTCTCTGTATGGTACCTAATTTTTAAAAAATTCAAACAGTAAGAAAAAAGCCTTTGCTAACACAAATTTCCTGTCCTGCTGTCAGTTTGGAGTTTACAAACTATGGTCACCATACTTAATATCACATATAGCAATAGCGACATCCAAATATTTGATTAAAATTATCTCTATAAAAAATAGCTTTAAATTATGAAAAATAAGTATTTGAAATCAAACTTCATCAAAGATACACTGTATTGCTACAGGAAATATCAAGTTCTGTACTTCTAATATGATTTAATGGAAGGAAAGGACAAACTGTTCAGTACAAATTTAAAAATGACTTAAGGCTAGGCACAGTGGTTCATACCGTAATCTCAACTGTTTGAGAGGCTGAGTGGGAGGATCACTTGAGCCCAGGAGTTCAAGGCTACATGGAGCTATGATTGTGCCACTGTATTCTGGCCTGGGTGACAGAGCAACACCATGTCTCTCAAAAAGAAATAAAATAAATAAAAATAAAAATAAAAATAAACGTAACTTAAGTCATAGGACAGATCAAATGCCACACAGACCAAAAGAATTGTACAATGACAATGAGCCCACCTAAGATTATGCATTTTCCTGCCTTGCCCTTATCTCAAACTATCCCCAGCCACCTCTCTCATCAAGCTTTAATCAAAGCAGTAGTTCACTTTGCCATAATCAAAGTTCAGCAGTATTGAAATCTCATGATTTGGCTGGGGATGGTGGCTCATGCCCGTAATCCCAGCACTTCGGGAGGCCGAGGCAGGTAGGTCACTTGAGATCAGGAGTTCTAGACCCGCCTGGCCAACATGGTGAAACCCTGTCTCTTCTAAAAATACAAAAATTAGCCATGTGTGATGGCAGGCGCCTGTAGTCCCAGGTACTCGGGAGGCTAAGGTAGGAGAATCACCTGAACCCAGGAGGCAGAGGTTGCAGTGAGCTGATATTGCACCACTGCACTCCAGCCTGGGTGACAGAGCGACACTCCGCCTCAAAAAAATAAAAAATAGGCCGGGCATGGTAGCTCACGCTTATAATCCCAGCACTTTGGGAGGCTAAGGCAGGTGGATCACGAGGTCAAGAGATCAAGACAATCCTGGCCAACATGGAGAAACCTTGTCTCTACTAAAAATACAAAAATCAGCTGGGTATGGTGGCACACACCTATAGACCCAGCTACTCGGGAGGCTGAGAGGAGAATCGCTTAAACCCAGGAGACGGAGGTTGCAGTGAGCTGACTTCATGCCACTGCACTCCAGCCTGGTGACAGAGCAAGACTCCGCCTCAAAAAAAAAAAAAAGAAGAAAAGAAAAGACATGAAATGAATTAAAAATTTTAAAAAATAAAAGAAATCCTATGATTTTAGGCCCAGACTTCATTGTGTTGGGCTCAGAGAATTAGCACACTGCAGTTCTACAAAGATAATTTATAAAATCACAAGGGAACTGCTACCAAATCATTTACCCCCAACCTTTCCAGGTTTTCAAGACCAACCTGAAACTAGTTAAAATTACCACAGACACTACTAACTACAACACAAATCAGGTATAAAGCTAAGATGCTCTCAGGAATGGGCTATCTGGGGACAAGCTGTCAATCTAGCAGCATTCTCACCTCCTCTTAGTGCTCTCCGAGGCCTTACTATGAGGATCAGCAAACACAAGCATCTGAGTAATGGCAATGGCCAGTACTTCTACAGCACTATCTGCCAGGGAGCCTTCTCTACACTCTAACTCTGAAGTTATGTCTATGTTATTATCCCCACCACTACACAGGAGGAAACCAGAGGACAGGGATCCTAAGTAACTTGCTCAGGATCACACAAGTAGTAAAAGGCAGAGCTGAGACTCAAACCCAGGCAGAGGTTTCAAAATCTGTGCCATTAGCACTTCAAGTCATTTATACAGAATTTGGCTTCTCCTAAAGCTCAAATATCCTAAAGACAGCTAAAATCCAGCAACCACAAAAGGGCATAATGAATGCCACAGAGTCAATACTCAGCATCTTTTCAATAACTTTATGTACAATCCCAGCAAGTTTAGTTATTATTCCCAGTTTGCATTACATTAAAATCACCAATACAAATGGCACAGTGACTGCACCAAGAAACATCAGAAAGAGAAGTGATTAAAAAAAAAAAAAGACAGAAAGCAGGCACCAGAACTAAAACAAACAACAAAAATCCAGTAGTTAGTGGTCATAAAGTTAGTACAAAAGTTTAAGTTAGGGGTTGGCAAACTCTAGCCCATGGGCCAAATTTAACCTGCCCTGGTAGCTAAGAATGCACTTTACAATTTTAGATGGTTGGGAAAAACATGCACACATAAGAATGTGTGACAGAGACTACAGCTGGCCTGCAAAGCCTTAAAATGTTTACAGAAAAGTTGTTTACTTTAGATAAACAGCACCATATATATCTCAGAAACTCAAAGACCTCTCTTTATCCATTCAAATATATACATTTTTTTCTTTTGGGACAGGATCTTGCTCTGTCCCCCAGGCTGGAGTGCAGTGGTGTGACCTTGGCTCACTACAGCCTCGACCTCCCAGACTCATGCAATCCTCCCACCTCAGCCTCCCAAGTAGCTATGACTACAGGCGTGTGCTAACACACCCGGGCTAATTTTGTTCATTCTTTGTAGAGACAGGTCTCACTACGCTCAGCCCCATTCAAACATTTATTGAGTACTTACTCTGTGCCAGGCCCTATCTCAGGCACTGTAGATGTATCAGTGCGAAACTGTTTTTACATTCTAACTTAATAAAGGGTACTCAAAGTGACAACTCAGAAAGAGGAAACCAAGGTTCCAAGAGGAAGTGGTTGCAAGGCCCTTTGTAGGCAGATATTCCCACCTACCCAGCTTCTCTAGGGCCAAAGTTGGTTCTCTGGCTCTCCAAACCCAGCACCTAGCAAGGGTTAAAGGTATATTGCAGAGGGGAAGGCGGTGAACTGAAAAATGGCACAGTAAGCCCAAACATTCCTAGAATGGACTGTATAGGAGATTAACAATGGGCCATATGGTTATAGGTGCATACTCTTGAGTATGCCCAAAAAACTAAATTGTTGAATCTTCACTTGCTATGTACATACAAGTTAATGATAATGGTAAATACATTCCTGAAGTATCTGTAGGCCTATACACATGCTGATAATTCAGAGGGACTCTTTTTTTTTTCTTTTCTTTTCTTTTTTTAGACAGAGTCTCGCTTTGTTGCCCAGGCTGGAGTGAAGTGGCGCAGTCTCAGCTCACTGCAACCTCTGCCTCTTGGGTTCAAGCTATTCTCCTGCCTCAGCCTCCTGAGTACCTGGGATTACAGGCACCTGCCACCACACCTGGCTAATTTTTTGTATTTTTAGTAGAGACGTGGTTTCACCATGTTGGCCAGGCTGGTCTCAAACTCCTGACCTTGTGATCCACCCACCTGGGCCTCCCAAAGCGCTGGTGTGAGCCACCGCACCCGGACTAAGAGGGACTTCTTTCGGGTAAGTAGATTTTCGCTAGGCTAGCACCCAGCTTTTATTGATCCCATGGTTCAGTAGAAATGCGTCCCAACTAGGTAACAATCAATATTGTTAAAAATCTTGTCTGATTCTCAGGAAGTAGTGTGGAACATGTTTAAGGCCTTCCATGTTGAAATCTGGTCCCACACCAAAGCCTTTGAAAATTAATAACAAAAATATGGCCGGGTGCAGTGGCTCACGCCTGTAATCCCGGCACTTTGGGAGGCCGAGGCGAGTGGATCGCCTGAGGTCAGGAGTTGGAGACCAGCCTGGCCAACAGGGTGAAACCCTGTCTCTACTAAAAATACAAAAATTAGCTGGGCGTGGTGGTGGGCACCTGTAATCTCAGCTACTAGCGAGACTGAGGCAGGAGAATAGCTTGAACAGGGAGGCAGAGGTTGCAGTGAGCCAGGATCGCGCCATTGCACTCTAGCCTGGGTGACAAGAGCAAAACTCGATCTCAAAAAAAAAATGTTTTTAAGAAAGTACATGTGTATTTTTCACACACTTTACTCAGCCAAGCAACTAAATCTCTATTGTCTATGATTTATAAATCATGTCAATCAAGTCAAAAAATCAGTGACAACTATACGACTGAGGCCTTCCTCCCCCACTGTAAATCTACCTATTTCAAAAGTTTCCGAGATGTTTTCTACAATGAAAAGCATTGTACTTAACAATTTGTTCCAGGCACAGTGGCTCACGCCTGTAATCACAGCACTTCGAGAGGCTGAGGTGGGAGAATCACCTGAGTCCAGGAGTTCTAGACCAGCCTGGGCAACACAGCGAGACCCCTGTCTCTCCAAAAACATTAGCTGGCCCTGGCGATATACACCTGTAGTCCCAGCTACTCTGGAGGCGGAGGAGGGAGGATCGCTTGTGCCTAGGGAGTCAAGGCTGCAGTGAGCCATGATCTCTCCACTGCACACCTGCCTGGGTGACAGAATGAGATGCCATCTTTAAAATAAAAATTAAAAAAAAGATTTATACTACAGATTTACATCTGGTAAATGTATTCTTTTGTCTTTGCTTTATTTGTTGTGTGTGTGTGAATTTTATTTTATTTTATTTTATTTTATTTTTTTTGAGACGGAGTCTCGCTCTGTCGCCCAAGCTGGAGTGCAGTGGCGCTATCCTGGCTCACTGCAAGCTCCGCCTCCCGGGTTCACGCCATTCTCCTGCCTCAGCCTCCCGAGTAGCTGGAACTACAGGCGCCCGCCACCGCGCCCGGCTCATTTTTTGTATTTTTTTTAGTACAGACGGGGTTTCACCATGGTCTCGATCTCCTGACCTTGTGATCCGCCCGCCTCGGCCTCCCAAAGTGCTGGGATTACAGGCGTGAGCCACCGCGCCCGGCCGTGTGTGTGAATTTTAAATGTCTGGGATAAACGATCATTTATAAGCATTTAATAAAACAAAAACCCTTTGCTCCTCCTATTAAATAATAGCCTTACCAGCAACTCTTTCCAAACATGATACTATTACGAAACAAGATATCATGTGCCAAAGTTGTCCTGGGGAAGGCTTCACTCACATACAAATGGATGGATAATAGCATGTGAGAAACGAGGAGTTTCTCCACATGTCACAAACAGTATCTTCAAGTGCATGGTCACTGAAGAGTTAAAGTGACAGCAGGCTAGGCAGACCACAACAAAATCATTCCAGTCCACTCCTAATACCTAAAAACAAAGCTGGCTGCCTGCTCCGGAAAGATGAGAGTACCAAAAGAAACCAAACCCAAACATCCCGTAATAAAAACTCGTGACGACTTCCCTGTTTAGGGGCACAACGGGTTTCCTACTTCACTTCCTAAGTGTCAGGCCCTACAGTGGGCGAGCCAAGGTCTCCTCCCTCGGGAGGCTCGCGGACCTGGTGCAGGGGAAAAAACATGAACAAGACCTCAAAGATCTAAATGTAGGGAAGACTCCAATATAGAATTGAGCAGTCTGGAGAAAGAAAAGTTAATTCTGCCAGGAGTAGGGTAGGAGGGGTCGAGGGAGGTGTCCCAGAGGTGACTGTAGCTAGACCCTAGGGAGAGGGAAGGATTGGGGAGGGGTGAAGGAATCCTCCGAAAAGCTATGGAAAGTGACTTAGAAAGGAAGAAGCAAATCCACTGGGCGCCACCGCGCTCCCGTGTCCCGAGACGCCCCCGGCCCCGCCCATACTCCCTCCCGGCTCCCAGGGCGGGGGCCGCGGGGGAAGTAGGAGCGTAGGTGATGCTCCCCTCCCCGAGCCGAAGAGGCGGGGGGTTGCGGCGTCGCCCCTCGCCCGGCGAGATCGGCATGGGGGCGACTCGGACCCCACCCAGCCCTCCGGGAGGCTGTGATGCCGCGCTCCACGCCCGCCACCGCGCGGCAGACAGCTCCCCACCGCACGCGGACACTCACTTTCTCGTGGAAGATGGACTCCATGTTTATTTGTCTGGAGCCAACGGCCCCCACACCGAACCACCCCCTCCAGCTCCGCCCCCTGTCCCTCCCCTCCGCCCACCCCGCCCCGCCCTGGTCCCCCGCCCACGTGCCGCACGCAGGCCAATCACCCGCGAGGATGCGAGTCACGTGAAGCGAAGAGCGAGTGAACGCCGGGGACACGTGACCTTGGTAGCGCGTCCTCCTAGTTTCTGTTAGAGGGCCTTCTGGGGGATGCTACATCGCCACCTGCTGTCTGGAGGATCTTCTCCGCTTCCCACCCATTTCTATGGGTTCTTAGGTTTCTGGGGGGAGGTTTGGACCACTCACCTGGGTTCGATACTCTTTTTGTTTTCCACTTTGTACTTTCTACTGTGTTCATATAACTATTTACTTTCTTTCTCCTCCTCCTCCACTGAAAATTTAGTAAGAAAAAGCCATCATTACATTCTCCCAAAACCTAGTACTTGTATAAAAATGATAGCTAGGCCGGACGCAGTACCTCATGCCTGTAATCCCAGCACTTTGGGAGGCCGAGGCGGGCGAATCAACTGAGGTCGAGAGTTTGAGATCAGCCTGACCAACATGGAGAAACCCCGTCTCCACTAAAAATGCAAAATTAGCTGGGCGTGGTGGCGCATACCTCTAATCCCAGGTACTTGGGAGGCTGAGGCAGGAGAATCGCTTGAACCCGGGAGGCGGAGGTTGCAGTGAGCCGAGATGGTGCCATTGCACTCTAGCCTGGACAACAAAAGCGAAACTCCGTCCCCAACCCCCCAAAAAAGGAAAAAAGTGATAGTTAATATTTATATAAGGCTTTCTATGAGCTAGGCCCTTTTCTAAATGCTTTGCATATATTATCAAATTTAATACAGCAAACTTTGATGTAGGTGTTGATGCTATTCATACACATGAGGAAACCGAGGCACGGAGAGGTTAAGAACAGCACAATGTCCAAGGTCAGATGGTAAGTTGCCTTGCCAGGATTCAAATCCAAGTGACTTGTTACCACTGTAGGTGTTCGGACCCTTTAGAGGGAACTTAGAAGTCTCATAAATTGTGTGGGAGACGGGGAGGTAGCAGCGGTTTGATGAAGCTTGAATGGAAGGATAGGTGCAGATCTTGCACCTTGAAACCAGATTAAGGTGTACTTTTTTTTTTTTTTTTTTTTTTGAGATGGACCTCTCTCTGTCCCCCAGGCTGGAGTGCAGTGGCACAATCTCCCCGCTTACTGCAACCTCCACTTCCTGAGTTCAAGTGATTCTCTTGCCTCAGCCTCCCAAGCAGCTGGGATTACTGGCACGCATCACGACATCCAACTATTTTTGTGTTCTTAGTAGAGAAGAGTTTGTACCATGTTGGCCAGGCTGGTCTGGAATCCCCAACCTCAGGTGATCCACCTGCTTTGGCCTCCCACAAGTCCTGGAATTACAGGCGTGAGCCACCGCACCTGGCCAAAGTGTACTTTTAAAAGGATGTGGGGAGCTATATAAATATTTTAAAAGAAGACACGTGGTAGGCCGGGCGCGGTGGCTCAAGCCTGTAATGCCAGCACTTTGGGAGGCCGAGGCGGGTGGATCACGAGGTCAGGAGATCGAGACTATCCTGGCTAACATGGTGAAACCCCGTCTCTACTAAAAATACAAAAAACTAGCCGGGCGTGGTTGCGGGCGCCTGTAGTCTCAGCTACTGGGAGGCTGAGGCGGGAGAATGGCGTGAACCCGGAAGGCGGAGTTTGCAGTGAGCCGAGATCACGCCACTGCACTCCAGCCTGGGAGACACAGCCAGACTCCGTCTCAAAAAAAAAAAAAAAAAAAAAAAAAACACACGTGGTCATGTTTGCATTTTAGAAAGATCACTGGCTGCAGAAAAAAAGCAGTTGCTGTTGAAGGACTCTTCGGAGAGATGATGGTGGTTTGGACTACAGTGGTGTCTTAAAGATGGAAATAGGCCATTCTGAGAGATTATTTGGACGTAAAGAGACTCAACAGAACGTGGTGATGATACGGCTTCGACCGGTGGAAGAATGCTAGGGTTTTCGTCTTGAGTCGAATTACATAAAACAACATGGACAAACCTGGAGTGGTTTTAAGGAGCATAGAGTTTAATAGGCAAGAAGGAAGGGAGAAGAAAGAAAGAGGAAGCTCCCCTGTAGACACAGAGGGATGTGGGCTCCAAAGCCAAGAGAGGAGACCTGGAGAGTAGGGGAGATACCAGCCAATTATATGAGGAGGCTGCAGGAGGCGGTGTCTGATTTGCATAGGGCTCAGGGTACTGGTTTGACCACGCATGTCATTAATGTAGCCCTCTAAAAAAACTGGCCCTCCCACCCTAGCTTTTTAATACCCAAATGCAGAGCGCCACGATGTTCTACACACGTGGGGATATGCAGGGGTGGCCATGTTGCCAGCACATGTGAGAGCAAGGGCAAGGGGACAATGGTGGGAATCACCCTGTAGGTGGACCCAGTTTCTAACTGCCAGCATTTGCATATTAAAGGTTGCCAGCTTGGGTCTAACAGCCAGGGCTTTCATGCTAGACAGGAAACATTTCTGGAACTGCTTCAAAAGAGACAAAAACTTTTTAAGGACCCCTTTTCCTCTCTATCTGCCTAAAATAATTTCTTAATTACGCCTACCACAGTGAGGGATTGGGGAACGCAGGAGACCGAAATGTGAAGGTGACTTCTGGGTTTGTGCCCTGGGCAGCCACTGTGACAGGAGTGATATTGAGAGCAGAAACAAGGGAGGAAAGCAAGGTTTTGGGAAGAGAATAAGATAGAGTTTACATTTTGGAGACACTGAATTTGAAATGTCTACGGACATTCAAGTAATTATGTTGAGTAATTGTTAGATACCAGGTCTGAAGTTCAGGAGGCTGCTTTGAACTCAATGAAGAATTGCCATTTAAAAAAAAGGTAGCTAAGGCCGATGTGGTGGTGCACGCCTGTAATCCCAGCACTTTGGGAGGCTGAGGCAGGCAGATCTCTTGAGGCCAGGAGTTTGAGACCAGCCTGGCCAACATGGAGAAACCTCATCTCTACTAAAAATACAAAATTTAGCTGGGCGTGGTGGCTCATGCCTATAATCCCAGCTACTCAGGAGGCTGAGGCAGGAAAATTGCTTGAACCCGGGAGGTAGAGGTTGCAGTGAGCCAAGATTGTGCCATTGCACTCCAGCCTGGACAACAGAGTAAGACTGTGTCTTAAAAAAAAAAAAAGTAACTGAAACCATGGGAGTGAATAAAATCATTTTAGGGAAAAAGAAGTGCTTGAGAAGAGGGCTACAGCTGAGCCCTGAGGATAGAGAAGCAATAGCCAAGGAGGAGGGAGAAAAAGCAAGAAAGTGTGACATTGTGGAATGCCTGGGCAGGGGACGCTTCAAGGGGTAGTCAGTTTCAGTTGCTGCCAGTACGTCAAGCAATACAAGGACTTATAAGAGGCCACTAAATTTTGTTGCTATGGAGACAATTGGTGACTTTGGGGACTGCAGGTTCAGAGGAGCAGAGGGGGCAGTGAGAGGTAAGGGAATGGAGACTGCCAGAGAGGACCAGGTGCTGAAGGAGAGGATTCGGTACCATTTATTGAGCATCTCTGTGTGCACTGTTCACAGCCTTGTATGGGGAAAAGTCCATGTTCTTAAGAAATTGTGTGGCCTACCCAGGGAAATAAATCATAGTCTCATGAAGTGAAAAAAATTGCAAACCACCTTTTCTGTTTTTTTTTTTTTTTTTTTCTTTTAATTGTAGTTGATGTCTTTCAAATGAATTAATGAAGTCAAATGTCTTAGTCCTTTTGGGGCGCTATAACAAGATATCTTGGAGTAATTTATAAACAGAAATGTATTACAGATCTGGAGGCTAGGAAGTCCAAGATCAAAGCTCTAGCAGATTTAGTGTCCGATGAGGGCCCATTCCTCATAGGTGGTGCCTTTTTTGTGTCCTCACATGGTGGAAGGGGAAAAGGGGCAAACAAGCTTCCTCTCTGTGTAAGGGCACTAATCCCAGTCACAAGACTTGGCCTTACGATCTGATCCATCTCCCAAAGGCCCCACCTGTTAAACCAACACACTGGGGATTACATTTCAACAAATGAATTTTGGAAAGATACAAACATTCAGATCATAGCACCAAGTATCTGGGAATCATTTTTTATTCTCTTCCCACAACTTCTCCACATCACCCCTTATTCCAGTCAGTCCTCAAATGCTACGAATCCACTCCTAACTCTCTCTCGCCCTTGTCTTCATTGCTACTACTTAGTTCAAGCCCTCTTGCTATCTTGTGTAGTCCAGTCCAAGGATCTTTGAATTGGTCTTCTGATTCCAGTCTCAATAGGTCTAATTCATGGTGCTGTCAGTGATTTCCAAAAATGCAAATCGTACAAGATTTTCTTTCGTTTAACAAGTATAACTGTGTATCAGGCCCTGGGACTATAACCATGAAAAAGACAGACAGTCTCACCTTCAGGGGACTTACATTGGCAGGGATTCTTAAATAATTACACAACTCTTACTTCAAAATCCTTCAGTGACGGCTGGGTGCAGTGGCTCATGCCTGTAATCCCAGCACTTTGGGAGGCCGAGGCGGGTGGATCACCTGAGGTCAAGAGTTCAAGACCAGCTTGGCCAACATGGTGAAACCCCATCTCTACTAAAAATACAAAAATTAGCTGGGCGTTGTGGTGGGCACCTGTAAAACCAGCTACTCGGGAGGCTGAGGCAGGAGAATGCTTGAACCTGGGCAGCAGAGGTTGCAGTGAGACGAGATTGCACCAGTGCACTCCAGACTGGGCAATAAAGTGAGACTCTGCCTCAAAAAAAAAAAAAAAAAATTCCTTCAGTGACTTCCTATTGCCATCCTATTGCTGGCCTGAAAAGCTCTGTGATCTGGATCAACCACCTGTCCTGTTCTGTTCTCCCCAGATTCTCTCTGCCCCAGTCACTCCAGACTCTAGTCATACTAGCTTCTTCCTTTTACTTCTGGAAAGTTCACTAAGGAAAAGTCTTTTGTGCCACCGCTACACCTTGAGCATGCCTACGTTAAAGCACCATTACATCATACTGGAAGTATTACTTTATATACTA